GTTACCAAGTGACGGGACTCATAACAGTTGCAATGTCATTCAGAGTTTTAAATCGCAAAGAACTTAGGGGCACTGCCACTGCGCCCGTCACCCTGAGACATAACTTGACAAGTCTCATGTGCCTGTAATTTCACCAGCACCCTTGCCCTTCAAAATCGGAACGCAGTCATAGTGGCAGTACTTCTCTGGACGAACTCTTTTACAAGGAGCTCCACTGCTACAAAAACTACTACAGTAACCATTTGTGTGCTTAAACTATGTAAGGATATTTTTATTTAGATATTGTGACAATTGAAAATTATTTACAAATTTTATTTAGTATTTTTTATCAAGTACTATTCACTATGGTTAATTAGATTTGTCTCAAAACTAACATGCAAATTAAAACAGGGATTTATAACGAAACTCGACTTTTCAATATTCGCATCGGATGGACAAGATGCAAACTGCGATAGCACAGTATAAAACAAGATGGATTAAATTTTCAAGTTCTTTCGATCTGTCTTTTCAAATTGTTAAACACCAAACAATGCCTTTTTTACCAAAATACAGTCGTAAAAATAAAAAAAAACCAAAAGAACTCCTCAGCGGTAAGTAAGGCTTTGTAAGAAATATGTATTCCAAATAGGTACGTTCTTGTGTATACGTTATATGATCAATTTTATTTCTTTCGGTTCTGTGAAATTCATTTATCGTCAACACACGTTCAAATGAACTATTAAACATATAATGTCTGGTCGCTAATTGATGCTATGTGCCGAATGTAGTAGTACCCTATTGGAAAACTTTCGTAATGTACAATAGCTTTAAGCTTAGGGTGTATTTACATACAATTTTTCTGTCATATCCGTGGGGTGATTTATAACACAGTTTTTTCTTACCTAACAGCAAAACCAGCAACAAGATTCGTCAATGTATACTTTAATGAGATGCCGTTAGGAGAAATAAACTAATAAAATAAAACGACGCGAAAGTGTGCGTGCTTACATGTTTCATATTACGAGTAGGTATGTAAAATTAAAAACATGAAAATTGTCCGACCGTAAAAAATATTAATGCATAATCGTGTCATGTAGAGTTTAGAATTACCTTTCAATAAATTAATAGATACATGTAGTATGCAGCATGGTATGATGTAACGGGCCAAGTGGTCGAGAAACCACCGCAACTCGACGACTTGGCGCCTATTTTGGCGTGTGGTGGGTGCAAGGTCCTACTCGTGCCACCCAAGGTCTTCCAGGAATTTCAGCGTCGTCCTGGATCTGATGAAGTTTTCGGGGAGTTATCTCGGGGCTCCAAACCATTTCGCTTTATAGTCGACCACGCCAGACCATTGTAGTAGAATATGCGGGGCCGTTTCCTCTCTCTCCATGCACGTCTTGCATAGAGGGGTCCGTGACACCTAAATTAAAAAAGTGTTTATTAAATAATTAAATTTAAAAAAAAATTAGACAAACTCATACGTTGCTCTGATCTTAAAGTAAGTAGTTAAAGCACTTGTATTATGGAAATCGAAAACAACGACGTTACCACAAACACCTTCAAAGATGGTGACACCATGAAAACCGGTGTGTAAGCCACTCGATCATGGAGGTCGCCGTTATTATATGGACCATGACCCGTTAGGGCGCTACTCAGAGAGCGCAGCTTTTGCCTTTTAAGTCTAAGTTTAGGATAGACTGGCGTTAAGCACTTACCTAGCCCGTCTATAAGTCGTAAGGGCTGTCCTGGTGTTATTATGAAAAGGAGCCATATATTTGTATCCATACATAAGTGACTCTCCGTTTCAACTATGTACGCTTTTAGCACGCATTGTCTTTTATGTCACGTTAAACGTATTTTTAGCCGACTTCAAAACGGAGGAGGTTCTCAATTCGAATGTGTTTTTTTGTATGTATGTTACGCGATAGCTCCAGCATTCCTGAGCTGATTTTGATGATTCTTTATTTCTTAGAAAGAGGATACTTCAGAAATGGTCCCACTTAAATTTGAAGAAAATATTTCACCTCTAAGGGTGGCAAACTAGGGGATGAATAACTTTTGAGGTCGGTTTTTTTAGTACTCTATACTGAGATTATTATTGTATAAATTTTATTGTTTAATAAACAATTTTGTAATTGTTATTGATACAGTTTTGTAGTAGTAACATAAACCACTATACTTGTAATTAAATTACCTAGTTGTAGTAAAAAATATGTATGGAAAAATATTACATAAAAATGGATGATGTGAGAATGCGTTTGGTTCGTTGTGTGGTGTGTGTTAATGATAAAGATTGATTTTATTTTGATATCTTGTAAAATCTTTGAAACTCAACTGAATCTTTAACTATTAAAATTTCATTGTTTTTATATTGTAGACATGCATGTAATTAATTCAAATGTTCAAACGGTGAAAACACTTGAAAAAGATTCTTTCATAGGAAAATGAAACAACTTTACCGGATTTAAATCGCGTATATTTGTTTTTTTTTTCAGATGAACTGACGTTTCGGGCCCTTTACAGGTCCCATGGTCACAGTTAATTAATGGGACCTGTACAGGGCCCGAAATGTTGGTTTGTTTTTGAAAAAACAAATATACGCGATTTAAATCCAGAAAAACGGTTTCATTTCCTATGTGTAACAATCGTGTAAACCTAAGAACTCGGAAGTTTCTTTCAATTTGAAGAAAAATATCTAAACAAGAAACTTTTTTAAATTTAACTTTCAAAATTATAAGCGTATTTTATTATATCGAGTTGACGTTTTCTTTTTTTTTCTTTGTTTTATTTCTTTTATTTTTTATATTAAATTTTTATTACATTATAATCATATTTAGTAGAGTGTTGCCATCACGGGACATAGAGTTGAACTTAAGTATTAAGTATAAACACGCAGTTGATTGTACTTAGGTAAGTTTTAGCGATGGTTACGATCAATCGCGGTTCCTTTGATCGCCGTGTCGCATGTCGTTTCGATAAAAAAGCCATAAACTAGCGATATCGAGAGGAAAAACCTGTCGAATCCGAGACCAACAGCTATCTCATTTGCGTATACAACACTTGATGTTTGCCGAAAAGAAATTCTATACTGCAAAGAAATACGTGATTTTGATGTCCAATTTTATGTTACGTTGGATATTGTAATATTAACTGTTTTAAGTCCCGACGCAAAAAGAGAGGAGTTATAAGTTTGAAACCTTAGTCAATGTGTATGTCTCTCTAATTTAATCTATATTTGATGAATATCTGATCAGCTGTTTAAAGATCATCACATCTTTTCCCAGTTAGTTCAGAGGTCTCAGGTATAAAATGATTGAAAATCTATTTTACTTTCCACTTATCTGAACGGCTTGAAATTTTTGTACCAAATAAATCCAACAGAAATATTAATTGAACAGAAGGTGAGTAAAGGTAGACTTATCAAAGAGACCTTTTGATGGGCTCATCGAGTATATAACCAGAAATAGAGACGAAATGTCATTTAATTTGTTTAAAAACTATTCTGCCAGTCATTACTGTAACGGACGAAAATTGCAATGTAATATTTTATTACCGATGAAATTTGATTCCGTTTGTTTTGTAATTAGATGTTTTGCTATTTTTCCCCACACCACCGAATGGAACAGCGCGCCAATGTTGGAGATATTATCTTTATTACAATAAATACAGAATATTTTTTGAATATACGGAGACGTATACATAGGTCAGTTGTTGGCGCTGTACTATTTCAGTGCAAACGAGAGTTGATATTTATAAGTAACGTATCACCGATGAGTTACCAGGAATATATGGTCTCTATTCCTGGTTATATACTCGACGGATGGGCTGGACTGGATATGGAAAGGGAGTCTGTTCCACAACTGCGCTGCACGGATAGAAAAGGAGTTGAAAAAGAAATTTGCAATTTATTTCCTATCACAATGTTTTACCACCCTGATATTCAATTTTTTTGTGAAATTAATATATAATAATATAATAATTATTAATTCAAAAATCGAACACAGAGAAAAGTTCATTCGATCCGGCCGGATTCGATCCAGCGTCTTCACCAGACCGACGCTCTCCCAACTAAGCCACGGAACGAACCAGCAGACCCAACGAATTTTTCTATGTGCTTGTTGCAAATAAAAAAAGACGTTAAAAAACCAAAAACAAGGATCTAAATGTTGTAAAAATACACAAAGTTTTATTACGCGTCATAAATTTGAAATAAAATTAAAAATTATATTCGAATCCAACAATCGCTATCGGTATTTATTGTGTAAATTATTTTTTTTGTTTTCTTTTCTACTTTCGCGCTCTTCAAATAGCTGAATTCAAGGTCTGTACTAATTTTGTTCCGTATATTGCCTGTTACACAAACGTGAGACCGTAGCTCCTACCACGGAAGTTCTGGCTGAAAATCAATGCTGTGCAAACTAAATAGATTTTAAGACTTTCATGGTTATTCTCTAAATGATTGTCACTAATATCAGGTTTCTTACCACGGTATGACTTCTTTTTATTTTCCCGATATTTAATAAAAAGAAGTCATACCGTGGTAAGAAACCTGATATTAGTGACAATCATTCTGTGCAAACTAAGTTTGTACAGCATATACTGAGCTCAGAATCATCGCCACACATCTGTAACCATAGATATAGTTTTGTGTTTTTACTTACTATTTATATGTCAGATTTTTCATTTGTATGTTTTTTTGTGTGTGGCTAATAAATGGAATTTGGAATTTGAATTTGAATCCATTTCCTGCAACATTACAAGAAGTACAATTGCGTCAGTGTAGCACCAAATGAGCGGTTTGTTTCCTTAGATTGTATAGCTCTTGTCAGTGCAGTACCTATTCATATTTGTCTAAAGTATGTTTCTATAGAAAATCTTAATTAATACAGATAATATTCAGACGTACGGCGTATCACGCTTACTTGGCAGATAGGCGTACCCGCTTTTCGTCATCTTTTAAATTAATATACGTACTATATACTAGCTTCATTAATGTGTACAAACTTTTTGGTAATCAGAACACCGAGTTGGGGCTGACGCGGAGCCGCCAGCGTGCGAGACGAGACTGCTCAACGGAGACCTCTGGCGCCGTTTCCACGACATCGGCACCGAAATGATCATTACCAAGGGCGGGCGGTGAGTCTTGTTCTATTCTCCATCTTCACCTCAGCCTCAAATACTAAAAACCTCAGAAACAATTTAAGATGATCTTAAGTCCAACAGACGTTAGAATAAAACGAATAGTCCTTACTAAAAATATTATCGAAGACAGGTGATTTACAATTACAACATGTAACGTGAAATTCTATTTTTTTTATGATACCTAAGTGACGGAATGTCGTCACTCGACGGAAGAAGTCACGACACACCTGTCCTTAACAGTTCCCGTGCCGCACCGAGCTTTAAATCACAAAGATCTGAGACTTACGTTCGTCTGTAATTCCACCAGCACCCTTACCCTTCAAAACCAAAACGTAATAATGCTTACATTCCTGCTTGGCGGCAGAAATAGGTAAGGTGGCAGTACTTCCCTGGACGAATTCTTTCCCACGGAGCTCTACTGCTACTGTTCTCCACTAAATCTTCTACATTCTAAAGCGCAAAACGTTGAAAGAATTTAAGGCCATTGGTCGTTTTTTTTTCAAAAATATTGACGAAGATGAGTTATTTACAATTACAACAACATCCAATGTGAAATCCTGAATCATGCTACGTAATTAATTTTTTTTCCGTAAAAATTGTAAATTACTTTGTATACCATGTGGTAGTGTGGTAGGTGGATATATTTGTGTGCAATAGCAATTAAAGTAATCTAAAATACATGAGAATTGACAATCAATATTGTCTTTTACCGTACCATGTCTACCGTCAATTGTTGTAGTGTTATTTTTGTCTAGCTTCATTAACTACACAAAAACATATCAAGTTTTTAATTTTTTATAATTGCTTTACATTGGAAATGAAACTGTTTTTAGCTGACTTCAAAAAAGAAGTGGTTCTCAATTCGAAAGTATTTTTCTTTTGTGTATGTTACGCGATTTCTCCGGCATTTGTGAATGGATTTTGATAATTATTTTTTTGTTGGAAAGAGGGTACCTCCAGCATTGGTCCCATTTAAATTTCAAGAAAATATTCCACCTGTAAGGGTGGCAAACTAGGAGATGGATCCAGTTTCGCGCACTTTCCGGTATCCGATCTCAATAAAACTTGGCAAATTGATCTATATAAGTTATTAATTATCATGACTGTGAGTGTTCGTTTTGTCTGTTTATTGTAAGATTTTAGTCTACATTTTTATATAAATAATTCACTTAAGTTACATCTATTACTACAATTGAATTGAATTGCTATCTCGCTTTAATGGAATTTGTTTAATACATGCAAAATTTCAACTAAACAAGAAGTAAAATAACAAAAACAAGAAATAAAATATATGGAATCTGCATTGTGAATGTGTTGCGACATTTTGCGGCGGATACACCGTTGGAATTGCGTATATCTATATGAAACTAAAGAGTCTATGCAACCTGAAACAGATTAGGTTGGCTCCGCATAACAGTGTAAGTCTTGAATCTACAGAATTGAGAATATACACTGATTACTATACGGTGTGAAAACACGACTCCCAAAAATTTGCACGAAGTAAAAAAAACACAAACTTATCTCGAATTTTTTTTTACAACACATCATGATAATGAGCTGATGATAAGCTACACGCCTGTACATAACAGTTACAATGCCACTCAGAGCTTTAAATTGCAAATATCTGAGGGGCACTACCACTGCGCCCGTCACAAGTTGACAAGTCCCATGTGCCTGTAATTCCACCAGCACCCTTACCCTTCAAAACCGGAACACAGTAATGCTGACAATACTGCTTGGCGGCAGAAATAGGTAAGTTGGCAGTACTACCCTGGACGAACTCTTTCACAAGGAGGTCTACTACTACTAATAATTTTACAAGACAATAGTTGTATTCAGTAGGTACTTTACATATACCAATGATTTTTTAAAATATCAACTGGCCTAAATAGAACACATATATTTTTCGAATGGCTTAATTACGTTTGTAAAAAATAAATTCTGCCCCTGTCGCTAGACCCAAGTAAAATGTTAGTACGGAAAACATTCGAATTCGTGCTGAGGTAATATCGACTGTTAATATATTGATGTTCATATTGAATTTAAAAAAAAATATCATTATTGAGGCTTGGAGTTATTACCGATTGAACATTGTCTTAGGTCTAAAAACCGCGGATTTTGCAATGTTTTGTGACAGCATGACGTCGCCCCACTTCTTCTTTGCTCTTTGAGCTAGGGATGCACGTTATTATTCGATTAAAATGCATACGATCTAACGATTTTTTTAGTCGGTTCATTTCAATGCGATTTTTAAGAGAATCGATTCAAAATTAAGGGGAATCGAATCGTCTAGAACGTATTCATAATTAAGTTATTAGACGTTGTTATTGAAAAGTTTTTTTTACTTCCTTCCTTACTTAAATTTAGTTACATGTAAAGGATCGGCACTGTGAAAAGTAAAACAAAAATATTTACATATTATTACGGCAATTAAATCATGCTTTATTCATTGCAAATTATATAAACGATTTTTATGAAATCAATTCAAGAGCAAACTGTGGATCGATTCAGAGGTATACTATCCATTACGATTCAAAAAATTGATTCAAAGCAAAAAATCATGCATCCCCACATTGAGCATGAAGAGTAAAACAAAAGCAAATTATAAGCAAACATTGCGGTTCCACGAATATACAAACAGAAACCTACATAAATTTTAAAATTAAAAAACGGGCGTCATCGCCGAATATCCAGTCAATTAAATAATGCAGCTGTCGCAATCCCAGATCCGAAATTTGGTAAAACACATTACTCGTCATAAATTTCAAAATAACAACAAAAACTTAACGAAAACCCATTAGGGCTGCCGAATCTGACGCGGGGCTTGTTAACGGATAATTTCGACTCGTCCGGACCTCCGTCATAGACAAAACAAACAGCTGCCCTGACGGCAATTTGTGCATTTCTCTAAATGGCCGAGCACAAATTACATCTTATTATAAGCTTGTTTGCTTTACGACGGAACCCCTTCAATTATTTTTTTTTCGTGATCGATAATGTGGAGCGAGCAGTGAAGAAATTACAGTGGTGGCGATGTGGGCGCCTCCGCCCTCGGCGAGCGCGCGCCGCGGTGGGCCCGACACGGCCGCGATGCTCGATGCGCTGCGCTCACGCCGTAATTACGTATTCACAACTCATCTCGTCATTAGCGGATGGCAACCCTGCCTGCGCCGCTGCCACATCACTGTTCAAAGAAATCTATCGATAACAGCCGCCGACAGAGGGGAACAACATGAAAGTATTCAATAATTAACGACGCGTAATTACCGGTCGAAAGCTCGTGATGTGTCGCCCGCCCGGTTGCTGCTATTAAATGGCTTCAACAAAAAATTGGACGGTTTTCGCAAACGAATATCTGTCGTGCGCGGGGGCTGTCGGTGCGCGCCTACGCTGTGTCGCGACTTGCAGTGCGACGGCCGGCGCTCGCTCGCGGCGGCTCTTTACGTTCGCGGATAATTAGCGGGCTCATCTGAGCTCCTGTCATCTCCTTACACGTTTTTTCCTCGGCCGCCGGCGCAGACCACCGCGCGTCGTCTGGTTAACATTCCAATAATTTACCGCTTTATCCGGCGGTCGATTGGTGAATCTCGTTAGCTGGCCCGACTAGAGGTCATTTTTGTTTGTTTTGTATTAATGATGCCGCGTGAGCAGCCGGGGGCGCGCCGGCGCCGGCCCCGGCGCCACGTGAACCAAAATGGGTCAAAAATATTTCTTTTATTCCACTGAGGCTAGCCGGGTCATGCGTGTGCGCGGTAATTGAGTTATTCCACTTGAACGCCTCGCATACGCACTCCCGCATCTAACACCTACAATTGTAGATAGTAACTTTATATTTTTTTAGTTTTTGTGCAAACATGAGTTAAAAGCAGTGCTCATTAAATTCTTTATCCGTGGCGTTTGCAGGAGGAGGGCCATGAGGGTCGGGGACCAGGGTAAATTGGAACTGCAAACACGGGGATCTGGGCGGTGCGTTTGTGTAGTCTCGGAGCATGGCTGCTCGAGCGCAGGGAGTTAACACCTGCCGCCCGTGGTCGCCATGCACTGACACTATGTGTTAAGATTCTGGATTTGTGGCAACCTTCCCAATTTTTCCCACCTGCGCACGGTGTAAATTGGCTTGGTACATAACACATTCGTGTATATTTCTGACGCGTACCTGACTCGAAATGTTTTGAAATAACTTCATTTGTATGTCTTTGTATTTCAACTTGCTCTACGATCTGATTGTTGAATGTACATTTTTATTTGGCATCCGAACACTTAGTGGAATGAGCAGCTTTTCATTACGTAAATAAACAGTAAAAAGTTACAAAACGAAGACATGTTCCATCTGTCCAAGTTGGAAGATAATAGTTTGCCTCAATAATCGGCGTATAAACAAACACTGGTTAGGATAGAGTCGAGTTATTTATTTTTTCTCCAAACCGAAATATGACAAATGGGCGGCGGGGCCGGCGGCGGCGCGGCGCGGGCGCAGCGCTCGCGTGTCGTCGCGCGGACCTCCCGCCATTTTAAAAACAAACACACATCACAAAAACTTGTTATTTATTCTCCAGTTATTCGAAGGGAAGGGCGCGCCCGATTTCGACGGAAAAAAGCATGAGTTATAATTAAAAACGTCTGAGGCTATACTCCGCATTTCTCCTAAGGCGGAACTGTCGGTGACAGGTTTTCATTAGACCATGCGCAGAGGAAACTTTGAGTACAGGTTTACACACATGCCAACTTCGTTTCCGGTTCAATCTCAACAATCAACAACAATCCTGTAGAAATGAAACACGTTTCTTTTTGTAATATTGGCCGCGTATTTTAATCAATGTTACTATTAAGTACGGGAATTTTGTAGTACTTAATATTACTAAGTTATGACTTCCCTGATGTTCACGAGATAGAGCCGTAATCATGGCCCGATCATCAACGGGATTTGGACCAGGCAAGCTCATTCCGGCGCTTGTTTTAACAGAAATGCCGATTAATTGATTCGATCTGTGTCG